AGTGCAGAAACCTTCTATGCAAGGCTGTAAATTCAGAGAATAAGCACCTAAATGTAAGCACGAGTAGTACTTTTCAAATCAGAAGATTACCTGTGACCATACCTCTATTCCTGTTTGCACAAAACAGATGCTGTGCTTCCATCTATTCTGGTCCACAGAGCCCACCAAGTCAAAACTGATAAATCTTCAGCAATATTTTGGTTGTCCCGAGGCTATTAGCTGAAAATAGAGTAATGTTCTCTAGCATTTCCTTTCTAATTTCTCTTCTTGTGCTCAGTGCTGCAGGTTTCTTGCTAGCCTATTGCAATTACAAGAAGAGAAGAGTGAAGCCCGGATCTGTCTGTAGCAGTACTCTTGATTCTTTTCAGCACCTAATGGAGTTGCAGCCTGTGCCTTTGGCTTCTATTTGCAGGAGCTATAGAAGTTCCTTGCACGTCTGATTTTTGCCTGCTTTCATTTTGCAAGCATGCTGTGCGTGGATTCTCTTAAAGCCATGCAGCTGCTGCTTATGCTGCTGCGTCGCTGCCAAAGCATAGGAGTGTCACTGCAGATGAAGAACTAAGTATTGATGCCAAAATGCTTCAACATCACAGATATGTTTTTATGAGAGGAATCTGGGAAAAATGCAGCAGTTGAGCTTCATTAAAAATAGGCTGCTTTTAAGAAGGGAGGACGTTTGATGCATCAGGCAAGAGCTATTTTCTTTTGAAAGTGCAAGCCAAGAAGTTCTTGTATTAGCTGTTGTGTAACTGTTTGAATGATTTTCTTATTTCCTTTTTCTCCTCTCCTTTTATCATTCTGGTGTCTTTAATTCACCCTCTTGATTGTATTCTGTAAGTGCTGGGCTAGAGATTGTATACGTGCTTGATTTGGTGCATTTTGCCCTTCTGTTGTCACTCCTTGCTGATTTATTTAGGATTGATACCAAAATACTTATAATTCATAAATAAGATTTATATTTTAAATATACTCATGCATAAATATAGCCACTGATAAATTTGTACAATATAAAGTCATTGTGCATATTTTATGCCCACTAAAATAGGAATTATAGAAGGTAGTTAGGATTAGAAAGTGATCCAAAAGAATTGAGCTTTTAGAATCACAGAATGGCTGGGTTGAAAAGGACCCCAATGACCATCCAGTTCCAACCCCTGCTGTCTGCAGGGTCACCAACCAGCAGCCCAGGCTGCCCAGAGCCACATCCAGCCTGGCCTTGAATGCCTGCAGGGATGGGGCATCCACAGCCTCCTTGGGCAACCTGTGCCAGTGCCTCACCACCCCCTGGGAGGAAAACTTCCTCCTGAGGATCTTTTATGAGATCCTGAAGGAATGAGTCCAATTCCATATTTATTATTTCCAGCTCACTGATATTTATTGTTGGCCAGCAGTTGGCAGATAACAGTTTTGATACAGGGCAGAACGGACTTCTGTGGTACGAAGGAATCTGGATTGCTTGGGAAACTGAACATGCCTGCAGTGTTTATCTGTGTCAGTGAAAGAAAAGGTTTGCAGCTGGAAGCAAAGGAAGGGGTGTCAGATGTCCCTGAAGGACTCAGCATTGTAGTGTGCAGGCGGCTGAGCAGTAGCTTTCATATTAGACTCCATCCAGAGGGTCTCATAATGTGCTTCCAATGTACCAGAGCAGAAATGGTACATATGAGATGTGCTGCTCTGGGTTTGGCAAAAGCACAGCTGGTATTGGAACACTGCATGGCTTATCTTTCTACTCTGAAAACAGTGGTGAGAGAAGGAGGAGGATTTAGAGAAATGCTCCAAAAGCAAAAAAAAAAAAAATAGAAGGAGTTGAAAGCTACACCATACTGGGAAAGACTTGCTATGAAAAGGCTTTGGGGTGCACTTGGTGAGAGTGTCCTTAATAATAAAATTAGGAGAGCTGCTCAGTATAGCTGAAGCTAAACAGTTGAGGCTCGACATGGAACCATCTGTTAACAATCACAAGTGATCTTTAAAAAAATTCTACAGCTGTGGTGATGTTTTCAAATGACCTGCTTGGGTACACGTGCAGCCATTGCCTTGAAGGAGGAATTGATACCTGGAAAACAGACAAGATGATCACAGTCTCAAAATCAGTGAAACTATGAATCACTACTGCAGAAAGCTGTGTTTAATATTTGAGTGTTGTTCCAAGGTATTAATTTCTGTAATGCAATAAATCTGCTTAGCCGTGAGTCAGAGCCACAATCTCCACCAGCATCACTGAGCACTTCTTTCTGTTCCTTATGCCAAAGGAAGCAAAGCCCTGGCAGTAACCCTTTCCCTCTCTCACAGAGCTACGAACCAGATGAGCTGACCAAAGAGATGGCCCACCTGGAAGGACTCATGAAGGACCTTAATGCCATCACTACAGCATGACCACCTTCACCAGGACATGACTCCAGATTGTTTCACACGTCTTGGGACTCAGCCTTGGAACACAAGGAATTGTACAGTGAAAAAAAAATAAATACAGAAGAGGGACAGCACATCGAGAGCATCCCCAGGAGGCAGAGGAACCAATTGGTGCATTTGTGCTACAGCTGGTCACAGAGGAACGACCTTCCCGGCCATCATCCTGTAACAAAGTCACACCAAGCTGAGTTCCATTTACCTGCTGAGTCCATGCAGGATGGGACTGAAATCTAGCATCCAGACAAAAGGAAAGAGAGTGGACTTCATAAGTTTTATTTTTTCCTGGTCAGGTTTTGTCTCAGTGGTGTGATTGCCCTGCCTTTTCAGTGTTGGACATTCGCATTTATGTACAATTTTGTGTTTTTATTTTATCTTTTTTTTTTTTTATATATATAAAAAGGAAAAAAATAATGTAATCAAGGAAAAAAAAAAAAGGAGAAACTATTGTTTTTCACAGCCTAGGCTGACATTTGACTGCTTGTTCTATTGTGTATGAAAATTCATTGCCAGTGTGGGTTGTTCTATTTTGTTTTTTTATTCTGCATATAATTACGTCCCCTTCTGGCAGTTAATCCATGGCCTTTTGGGATGCTGCACTGTTATTTGTAAGCTTTTTTTTATTATTATTTTTATATTATAATTATTAAAAGCCTGACTTTCTCCTCTCATCACTGTGAGATTACCAGTCTGTTTGAATTGAAATGTAATTTGAAAGGCTTGTTTGTTGCTTTTTTGTGCAGTTTCAATATTTTGAGTGGGGAAAAGTAGATGGGGAGGGAATGCAGGGGGAGGTTTCATTATTGTTGTTTTGCTGTCTTTCTACATTGACTCGAAAGACTGAAGAAAATGAAAGCATCTTCTGTACCGTCCTTCCTTGTAACTCCAGCATACTGTGTCTCTGGTTACTGAATTGCAGTGAGTCTCATTTAGAAACATTAAAAAAATTTCCTCCTGTGAAGTAGGTTACCTTAAGTTTAGATGCCACTACTGCTTGTTTTGGCAACAGTGCTGTTTTGGTGTTGTTAGGTTGAAGGCAGCTCTGTGGGTGCTAGGAGCTGCCTGGGCCTCTCCTCAATCAAAGGGTATTTTCCCATCTTACCTTACACTGTGTCCACAGGACCCTTCAGCAGCAAGTCCAACCCCAGTGCAGTTTCTCCAACCCAGGCCCTTTAAACAAGAAGCCTTCTCTTAAGGATTCTTGAGAGATGTAAGCAAGGAAAATTGGGGGTTTTTTTTTCCTATTCTTTTTGAACCAAGTGAAAAGGAAAACAGTATTAGTGACTCAGGTGCTGTTCATGTATCTGTCTAGAAAGGAAGGAAAATCAAAAGGGAAATCCATTGTGAGGGGAAGCAAAATCTTAATCTGTTTTCTCCTTATGCAGATGATTGCTTGGCTCTGCCACAGTCTGAGGAAGAATGGCATGAAAGGAGGGACTGTATCTTACTAAGAAAAAAAACAATTAAAAAAAGAAACAAAACTCATCTGCCCAGGAGATTCCTCTGCATTTTCACTGTTAAGATGAAAGGAAACCCAAAACTTACTGACAGGGAGAAGCCATTTGATTTCTCCTGGAAGCTCGGCATCACCAATAGAGGGAGTGCAGGTACCAGAGGCACTTGCAGAGCCCACTGCTGCCCTGCCGCAGCAGAATGAGCTGTTTGAGATTTAACAGGACAAACAAAACCCCCATTGCTTCCCACCCTTTGTATGCTTCTAACTAAAGCTCTGGGCCTGCATTCTTGGTGCCCACTGCTGGGGAAAGGAGAGCCAAGAGATGGTCCAGAGTGCAGCAGGCCTCGGGCTGTGGTTTTACTTCCTTTCTTTGCCTGGACTCTTTGTACTGTCATTTTTAGCACAGTTGCTGGGTTTATTTATTATTTGAGGGGAGGGAGGAAATCAATGAATTGGAGCACTGTGGGCCACCTGGAAAACTGATGTTTGGACTTTTAATCAAAACAATTCAGGGCAAAATAAGCTACAGAACATGTATTTCAATCCTACAACCGCATACTTTGTCCTGAACGTTTTCCTGGATGGATGTTTTCCTTTGCCTATTTTTTACCTATACCCAAAGAAATACCATCTTACACATACAGTATTCTTAGCTGGTGGGTCTTTGTGAATATTACTTATGTATAACACCATGAATGTTAATATTGTCATTGAATTCGGGGAGGGGGAATATTTTTAATGATAAAACAACTGTTCAAAGTTGGTTTTTTAAGGTTAAACTAAAAGAAAACATTTATTCAATTCAGTGTACAATCTGTATTGCACTTTTTCACATTTTAATGCTACGTTTTCTTACATATCCTGTGATTTTAAATTTGGACATTGTGTATCCTTGTAGTGTCATAGTCAAGCTGTTGAGTGGCAGCTTCCCTCAGAGAGATTTGGGGAAAAAGCAAACCTGTATATTGTTTTATGATTCTCATGTAGAATAATTTTAAGGACTGCTGTAGACATTTACCTTCCTGTACAATTTTTTTTTTTTTTTTTTTTTTTTTTTTTTTTTGGCCTTTGTTTTTTTTTTTTTTTTTTTTTTTTGGGTTGTTTTTTTTTTTTTTTTTTTTATAACTTCATGTTTATTATTTTGTATTGGACATCCAATACACTTTTTTTAATCCAATCAAATTCTGGTCTGCTTGGAGAGTTTCTCTTCTCTGCTACTCCTCTACCTCCCTTAATCGACTCGGTGAGCAGGTTTGGTGAGCAGTGCTTGCACTGCTTGCTGTGGTTGGTCAAGCTGCCTCCTCCTGAGGAACACAAGGACACCATTCCTCCCCTGCACACAAACAAACCCTGAGAAAGCACTGTCTCCCTGACTAAGCTCAAAAGCTCGACAGCAACAGTGCCATTTGTAACAAGCAAGCAGCAGAAGAAAGGATTTCAAGTCTGGAAGTTCATTTCAGAGAACAAATAGCCTTAAGACAGTAAGCCCCAGAGAAGTGACACTGTAATTCTTTAAACATAACCCTCGAAATGCTGCCATATCCTCTTTGTTACCTTCATGCCCAATCCAGACTGCTGGCAAGTCAGCCAGCTTCCCCATGTCCTTGTGTCCTATTTTCCTGGGGGCATCAGACCCTTCCTCCCCCCAACCTCTGCAAACAGGAATACAATCTACTGCACTGCTTCGCTCCCCTCCTCCCCTCTCCTTATTTTGCTAGTTGAGTTCTTGCAAAGTTACAGTGAGAGAAGCTCGCTGAGGCCTCAGGATTCCATGACCCTGCAACCTGACAGATTCCTCAGCCGTGCCAGAAGTGATGGGGTACATATAAAGGAGTGAAGAAATTGGGAAGAAAGATGTAAGAGATTGGGTTGGGAGCACCAAGACACAGCAGAGCTGCAGGCATGGACAGGCAGTAATGGACAGGCAGTACTGCAGAGATGTGATCTCTGCTTAGTAACCTCAAGTGAAAGCAATTCCTGCTCCAGCAGCACATACAGTACGTGCTTTGGAGGTCAAACCAGACGAAACGGTGCTGGTGAGGGACGGGAAGCCCATGTTAGGCCAGGCAGAAAGAAGGACGAGCAGCTGTAACTTGCACCCTCGTGCAGCGCTGGCAGTGCAAGGCAGGGACGCTAGATGGCAGCGACGCCTCGCTGGTAAGCAGAGCTGCAAGGCAAAGCCCAACCCGCACCATTTTTGCATCTACCTGGAAAAGATTAATTTGTTTCTTTTCAGCCTCAGTTAGGGAGACTGACATTAGTGACTCTTTTGTTAGCAGCAGCAGCATAGCAATGAACTCATGCAGCAAACTAATTTTTATTCATGCCTCACTGTGTCCTTCCTTAATAGCATTTATGCTCCCAGCATAGGCATAAAGGTTTGACTTACAGCAGCTCCAGCACCTTAGATAAATTGATACAACACTTGCAGGCTTTTCCCATTAAGAGCGGCTTCCTATCTCAAGACAGAATCGAGTTTAAACAGCAAATAACTGCTCATCTCAAGAAAGACATCCCTATGAAAACATGAGCTTAAATTGTGCCATTTGTCTTTGCCAAAAATGTCAAACCAATACAGCTTCTCCTCTAGTCCAGGCTTCAGCCAGGTTATGGCTGCTCTTACTACACATGGGAAGTGCAACTGTGGGAGGAAAAAAAAAAGCCAGCTGGTGCTCTGAGGTGTTTGCTTATGGAAGGTTACAGAGGCACAATGCACAGCTGCCTCCAAGAGGCCTGCCAGCTCCACAGTGTGACGGGTGCCCTGGGAGCCAAGGGGGCGATCCCCCAAAAGCACACAGGAAAAGGTACAGGGCTGACAGGGCCAGAGGGAGCAGACAGGAACAGAGGGCAAAGCCCCTTGGCAGGCATGAAGGTAGAAAATGAGAGCAAGAGGTTAAAGAGATGGCAGAAGGAAACACCCAGAGATCCAGACTGTATGCTTGCTTTCTTCAGGCAAGAAGAACCTGAAAGCTATCAATAGCTTGCTGGGGAGATGAACTCATAGCCAGTGAGGCAGAGCAAAGGATTAATTCTACCCTGAACTGAATTTCAGCTCCCATTGTCCCACCTTCTTTCCTGGAATACCCCCCTCACAAAGCACTTTTCTACCACATACTGATTCTCCTCCACACCTTCCTCTCCACAAGGATGTAGCCAGGACAGCTGGTTGTCACAGGGCTTGAATGCAGAGCAAACACTAGTTTTCCTTGGTGCTTTCCTATAAGGAAATGCTGTTCCCCAGCCCAGCTGTCTCAGCCAGCTACCAAATCCCAGGCGACTGAGTCCCTGGAGACCCTCCAACCTGAGGCAGCCCTGGTTAAAACATCCTGCAGCACCCCCACCAAAGGCTGGCAGAATTACATGAGATGTGCTGCAAGCATAGCAACAGCTTCATTGCATTGACTTAATCCAAACAGGCACTACTCACCCTTAGCAGGTTCCAGAAGAAGCAGCAGCACCCACTGACGGTTTTCATGCATCCCCATTTCCTTTGGTTCATTCTAGGCTAACAGATTCTGTACTTCCACCATACCATGACAATGGGGCAGGCTGTTCTGGGCTTCCAACCTGAGAGGGAAGAAATAGGAACCCCACTATGAGCCCCCGAGGTTCACAGTTCCTGGCTGGCAGAGCTGGGATGTTCTGGAAAGCCCTTATCTGACTTGGAGCCCCCCCCATCCAGAGAGAGGGTGAGAGGATTCCCCAGGGGGTGGCTGCAAGCCTGACAGCTCCATCCCACCCAGCATCCTGCCAGACCCCGCATCCCACCTCCTTGTGCCTGAGGAGCACACCAGGCCCCATTTCTTTTTGTGGGCACTGTCTCCATGGGAACAGCATCCACTTCATTTGGCCAACCTCTGTGCTGCTGCTGCGGAGGCGGCTTCCCTGCCTGTCTCTCACACTGGGCTTTTCCCGCAGCTGCTGCAAGGCAGAGCCCCAGTCACGCTCTGCTCCCATCCATCTCCTGTCTTGCAGTCAGGGCTTGGAGCCTCGTGACCAAAATAAGTAAATCTGTACTGAGGAGCTGCCAGAGAAACCTTCTCTGGGAGCTCTGCACCTCACCCAGATGCCATCTGTCTGCCAGCACCTCTAGGGCTGCCCCATGTTACCCAGTGGGGGGGGGGGAATGTCACTGCTGTCCCCCACTCTCCAGAAGGCTCTCAGCCCTTCCCAGCCTGGGCAGTAGGACCATCTCACCCGGGCTTCTGCCCTCCTTTCTGCCTGCTCCAGTTAAGGTATGCCTGGCCCTGCATCCCTTCCAGTATCCCCATTTCACAGTGACCCAGCCACAGGTGATCCCAAGGCTGAATCCCCCCAGTTCCCTACAGCATTTGCAAGCCTTCCTTGCCCAGACACTCAGCGTGCTTCTTCCCAGCCTGGCTGATACAGAGCCTGTAGCATTTCCACCCATTTCTCATGCTGTAAATGCTGCAGTGTGCTCAGCAAGCACAGGGCTTGCTGAACTGAGACCACCTTAGCTCTCCCCAAGACTGCTATCAGCATGGAAAGGAAAACCCTGGAGTACAGCCAGCACCTGCCGCACAACCCGAGCCCCAGGCCTGCTAGAATAGAGGGACCCCAAAGACAGCCATGCAGTTACCAGAGTACTATGGCACCTCCCAGACTCTCAGTCCAACCACATCCTCAGGGCCACCTCCAGAGCACAGCCAGGACCCACTCTCTACCCCACTGCTGCTTGTAACAAAAATTAGCACCCCCCAAAAGGTGGGCTTCACCTGGTAACCACCCCCCCAGATCTCCCCACTGCCCTTACCTTGCCAGGTCTGTGAGAAGTAAGCTCCAGCCCTTCCTCCAGGCTCCCCAGGTGTTTCCCCATCATCCCCACCTCCCCAGCTGCAAAGCATTATCATGTAAGCCAGCAAGGAGCTCCAGTGCAATGAAGGTTGGGGCAGAAGCATCCCTTTCCAGGCAGATTTGGTTTAGGCACTGAGACAGAGAAAAACCCAGCAAGCAAACAACAGAATGACACCAAAATAGAGGTGGATGCTGTGTTCTCAGTGCTTGTACCTCCTGGGCTTTCAGGGAGCTTGATTTCCCAGGACTGATTCACACTAATTGGACCAAACCCTGTAAGGTGGTTTTACTGGAGGAGGAAAACCATGTGAGTGCACGCGTACCATGTGTCCACACACCAGTATCAAGCCTCTCTGTTGGCCTCTGGGCCATCTGCATCTCCCATATGTGCCCCACTACATGTTTATCTGGGTTATGCTCACACTCAAGCCTTTTTCATAGAGAAAAATTAAAAGCTGCAGGTTAAGCATCTTTCCAAATCATCTCTTTGCCACCACAGTCTCTTTTGGAGAACAAATCTTATACTGACCTGAATGAGTTGCAAGAGGGGCCTGCAGCAGCATGGAAAAGGTTAATAACCTATCAGGGACACCGTCCTGCCTGGCAGCACAGCCAGGAGCTGCAGGCATAGCTCAGACCAGCAGCATGCATGCCCAGCCTCTGCAGAGAGGAGCTGACAGTGATGGGTGTGCACAGGGCCAGAGCTGACAGCATCCCTTGGCCACAGCAGGAGACTGGTGTGGGTGGATGGGGCAGCAGGGAGCCAGCAGCAGGCCTGGGGAGGACCCTGACTGCGACCTGCTGTGAGCCACCCACGCCAGCTCTGCATGCCATGGAGCTGGAGGGGAAGAGCTGAGTGTGGGCGAGCCCCAGCCATTCCCATCACAGCTGAAGGAAGCAGGTGTAGAAAAAACAAAAGGGGGAGGAGGAGGGAAGGAATGACCCAGAAGAGCTGTCTAATTTGCAGCACAGCCATAGAGAGCAGCTTCCCAGAAATGAGAAGGTGTTGAGATGCTGTTAACATCTTCCTGCCCAGCACAGCCCAGCAGCTTCAGGCATTCCCTCTAGGGTACACATAGCCAGACTGCCAGTGCTGGGGGGATTATTGGGTGGATGGTTGGCCAGTCAGGCACAAGAGGGCACTAGGGAAAGTTCTATGGGAGCCTGCCATTTACTGGGCTCCCAACTCCAACCCATCAAGCTGTTGCTTCTCCTCCACTGATACAAAAGAGCAGCCACCTCTTCTGGAAGATTTCAGTCCGTGTCTTTTCTAATCAAGTTCCTGCTTACAGGTGGACCTGAGCAGAACAGTCATCACCAGTGATTAGGGTCAGCTGGTAGCTGGAGGCTGAAAGGCAGCTGGTTTGCAATGCCTCCTTAAAGAGAGTTTAAAAATAATAATAAAAAATAAAAAAAAAAAAACCACAACCAAAATCTAAATCAATCTACCTTCCTGCAAATGTAAGCAGCAGAACCTAGTTAGGATTTGTCCTTTGTCACAGATAGATTGTACCATACTCAGCCCTATGAGTATCACCACTTAGTGCAGACATGGCCAACACAGCCCACATGCAGCCCAGCACTCCTTACTCCTGGCATCACTCTGTGGCATTATGTATGTGTGCAAACAGCTATTTTGAAGGATGAAGCACAAGAAGTGTAAGATTTCATTAAAAATATGTATATCTACTGAGCACTTTGAGAACTCATAAGAATTGCAGCAATGCCACCAAAACAAACTGATGCATTACTTTCACAAAAACAAAGTCAAATTTCCCACTAGCTTTATGCTTTTGTTACTCTTTTTAAATATATTTTAATTAAAATACTATTAGAATTAAAATAAGTTTTGTTACTTTAAATATATAGTATATATTTAAAGAGGGCTGCTCCAAAAGTAGTGCCTTCTGTTTAAGGACAGTGGCCCATGATGTCAGAGGTGGACGCTGGGGGTATGGCAGTGCAGGTTGAACTTTGCCTCATGTCCCATTCCATGTTGTTGCTGTGTGACAGATGGCAGCAGAGGGGCACTGACAGACTGGCATCTGACTCAGAAGTGCAGATAGAGCAGGAGTGTGTCAATTGAATTCCTCTACGCAGAAAGAAAACGGCACCCATTGACATTCATCAATGCTTACTGAACATTTGTAGAGACCAAACATAAACATCCCACACTGAGGCTGCAGGTGGTGAGTTTTAGCAGTGACACCAGAGGCAGTGGGTCACCTCCACTGGCACAAGTGTTTGAGTGCAGCACACAGCTTCTGTTCAGTGCTGGCAAAAAGGCACAGCTAGTGGTGGTAACTGTGTCAAAAGCAGTGCTTTGTAGCTGAGAATTTGCTCGAACAGTGTTATTGAGTTACTGGTATCTGCTGCCATTTCCATGGAAGTAAGTAGGAGGCATTACTACGTACACACAGCCCTGGCAAACCAAGGTTGGACACCCATGACCTAAGACACAATAGGGCTCAGACAGACGTTCAGCATGCTGGAAATTGTAAACAAGAACAAAAGGAATTACTTCAAAGGCCAAAACCCAACGCATATATTTGTAATGCTATAACAGCAGGGTGGCAAAGTTCATGACTGCAGCAAATGAGAACAAGCCCAAATGCAGCAGCCACAGATGGAGAAATGAAGGAAAAGAGCTGCTTACCTTTAGAAGGTTACAAGTAGGCAGGAATCCCCAGAAAGAGATATTCTTACTTCTACTGCCAACCCTTAAATGAGGCCTGGGAAGGGGTGGATCCACCCTTTCCAGTCACTCAGGTGGATTGCGTGCACCTGTGTTCCCCTGGGTCGGCCCTGCCTTCCCACCAGGTGCTCAATCACTCCTTCAGGCCGTGACTTAGCATTTCTACTACAATATTATATGTGGGTGAAAATTCACCTCCTCTTTTTCACCGGCAGGGAAAAAGGCAACAGATGGGAGGGGATTTGTGGGAAGGTGCCTCACTAAGCACCGAGGGTCTGTCAGAAGGTGCACCAGCAAGCAGATCCCCAGCAAAAAGAAGTGCTGCTCAGCTGAGCCTCAAGGCCAGGACCTCGGTGTGTCCCAGCTTCTCCACTTTGGTCCAACTTGGCAAGGCTTTGTTTGGCTTCAATATCCATGGGAGATGCAGCCAAAGAACAGCCATCCCACCTTCTGCAGCAGTACCCTACAGCCTGGCATGGAGTGTCCTGCCAAGGCTTAGCCTCTTTCCTTCCCTCTTCTGGGTGAACCTATCAAGGGCTTGCAGAGGTGGCTGCTATCCAGCAGTGCTGGGCAGGGAGAATTACCTCCAAGAGGAAACTCCTGTCTCATCAGGACCTGGGCCCACACTGATGCCAGCAGCTGCTGTCTCCAGCTCAGCAGTGGTGAAGCTACAGCACTGCCCTCACCTATGGGAAGCAGAAGCTCCTGGTCAGCTTTTTGGGCCAAGGAAGGTCCTCAGAACTGCAGCACCAGAGAGAGAGTGAAAAAAGTACTCAGCTGTTCGCTGCACAGCCCCATCTCCAGGCTTTCTGGAGGCACATTGCTTGGGAGAGGGGTTCTCCTGCAATGGTTATGGCTGGAGGACAATGTTGAGCAAAGAGGTCTGCTGAGGTCCTGTTAGGTTGGTCCACCTTTTTGTGCTCAACAAACCTCATCATCTCATTGGTGGGAACAACCAGCAGAGAGCTTGCAAAGAGGAAGAGAAACCTCATTTCCACGTGCTGAGCCTCAGCCTGCTTCTCAATGCAACTTTGTCATCACTGTTCTCCCTGGCCAAGGCTAGCTGGTGCAAAGGCACAGGAAGGTGCAAAGGAAGGAAAGCACTGTTGGGAAAAGGGCTGCTCTAATCTTCTCATTGTCCCTATGATCTCTCCTGGGATGAAGGAAGTGTAAATTTGGGATCCCTCACCTCTGTCCCATAACCACTGACTGCCTGCTGCTCCCCAGAAAGAAAGGTGAGTGGGGCAGGCACTTGCTTGGGAGAGTTTGTGGGACAAGGCTGAAATTCCCAGCCACAGCCCTGGACAAACTGCTACTAGGAAAAAGGAGAAACCTCAAGAAATGAAGATCCCGTCTTCTCCTGCACTAAACCCCCATGCCATCGGGCTGGGTGTTCACAAGGCACTGCAATGGAGGCAGCAGTAAAGAGGAGGTGAAAAGACTGCCCTGTTGGCGGAAGGGTGACTTGGCTCTGGTACCTGAACAGTTTGTTCCTGACAGCCAGTGCATATCATGAAATCCCAGTGCAGTCTTGAGACCCGTCAGTAAGATAAGGAAGCATCAGTGCAAATGCTAAACCAGTCAAGCCCTTCCAAGTGCGCTGCTGAACAACTTAGGATTCTTAAATCACTACAGACAGTGGAACCAGACTTTGTTCAGGGAAAAGCTGTCTGATCCATCCACATCACCCATCGTCACCCACATTGGCCAGGAGCAGTGACATGGCTACTGCCTGTGTTTGCTTGAGGCAAACATCAGCCTCATTAGCCAAGCCATGCCACTGACACCTCCAGCACCTGACTTTCTGTGAGGACCATGATGCTATTGTGTTACTGTAGTCTGCTCTGCTCTCAGAAAGGCAAAACAAAGTGTTTCACTTGCTCCACTTCATTCAGGGCAGCTCCAGAACAACTGACCTTCTGGGGTAGAGCCATCTGGTTTCAAGGGAATGGCATAAGGGCATTTTTTGATGAAAATGTTTGGTTTGCTCTTTCTTCACCAGTGCTGCTCAATTACATGCAGACAAGGTCAGGGAATTGATAGAGGGAGATCAAAAGGGTCTCCAATTTTCCTGTACCAGATGCAGGAGAGAAGAGGAGCATCCTGCTTTGACTGTGCGTTTGCTGCACCACATCAGTGGAAGTGTGAGTGTCTGAGCATTCTTCTCTGCAAAACATTGACTTCATTTACAGCCTTTGGGCTAAACACAACCACTGGATGAGAAGGTACCAAGGAAACGAGATTTTAGGGAAGGTAAAATGAATGTGAGCCTATTGGGAGGGTGCAGGGAGCCTGATGTCCAGCTGCATTTCAGTGCCATGGGCAGTAGGGCAGACTCCAGCAGCTGGGCTGCTCTGCTGTATGTTTTCTTGGCACTGAAGAAAGAGCATGAGGCCTTGTGTGAGTTACTGACCCACATAACCGATTTTGAGCACGTTTTCTAGACTGGGTTTGGACAAAGACTCAAAAAGGATCTCAATGAAAGCTAAGGGTTGAGGCTACTTTTACCTTCCAAAAATACCTCAGGTCCTGACCCTGGCATCATCATCCAGCATTGCTTGAGACCTGGAAGTGGTACTTTCTTTATCCAGTTTTTTTGTCTGCTCCTTGTGATAGTCCCTATTCCAAGCTGTTAACTTCTGCATCCTGCAGTAAAGCTCCTTAAGCTCTTCTCTAGGGATCACAAAATCAGCCAGAGATTCCAGACCTGTCAGTAACATGAATGAATTTCATACATGTTTAGCAAAACAACTGCCAGGTTGCTCCTTCACACTGTTGAAAAGCTTACAAACGTTACAGTCAATGGCTTACTTTGCACAGGAACGTTTGAGGTGGAGAGGTGGCAGCTGGTAAACACCACTGAAGTTGTGAAAACACAGACAGGAAGTGAGAAAATTCCTTGGTCTCTCTCCAATAGGACAGAGAGGGCTGCAATTCCACACGAGGTTTTTTTCTTCTTTAAATCTCATGTTGCCTGAATTTTCACACTTAAAGCAGACAGCAAGTCAGAGAGATGGGTTTTTTACTTTTTTATTTACTAAGGTTTTTATTGTGTTTTATATTGCAAACCCCACCCTTTGAACTCTTCCCTCCCTCCCTCCCCAACCCCCAAAATAAAACAAAAAATAACAATAATAATAATAATTAATATAGTTCCACCTACTGAGACAAGCCTAGTGTTGACTGGGGTCCAGTCGGAGTAACTCAATATTGGCTACTGCACCACTAAGAACTGGAAAATCAAACAAGACCCCCGTGAAAATTCAAGCAAAGGAACCCAACTGAACAAAGGATGTTCACCGGACTGGTGGATGGAACGCACGGCTACCAGAGACAGCCCTCAGGGTGTTTCTGTGCCCCTCCATTTGTCTGAGTGTCCACAGGGGTTGTTGAGATTCAAGTACCTATGCAGCAGTCACAGGACAGTCATCCATGAGGGCTTGGCATCGCTGGGCTGAAGACCTTTCCCGCTTGCTTGTACTAGATTCCCCAGACCCAAACAGCTTAGCTCCCAACCTCTCGAGATGTTCGTTCTAGGGGGCCCTCTAGTATATGGGGAAAAAGGTTGTTAAAACAAACAGAATACTTAAAAGGATATTGTGAGTCTTCCTCTAGGAACTCATACCTCTGAAACTATGAGAGGATCTGTGAGTCTGCTTCAAATCCATCAATCTGATTCTCTTTCAAGATGAGCGTGTACATATTTTGGAAAAGCAGGATCTACGTGTTATAATTATCTCCTGCCAATCAGTCCTACAGGAGGGTCAAAACAGACATGTATTTTAAAACTAGGATATATATATATATATATAAATATGTGTGTGTGTGTGTGTGCTGCTTACACATGTGCATAAATAGGGTACGTATGTGTATGACTGTACACTACATATATATAAAAGCATGTGTGTATATATAGATATATATATAAAAATCTATACACACACACAAACACTCACACTCCCCTCCCGCCACACACACTCACACATACATAATTGTATGTAGCTAGTAGAAAAAAACATTTCTAGAGTTCCCCTGACCCTTTAAGGAAGACCAAAGCTGATTACATCTGAATTCTGAGCCACCAAAGCACGTTGAAGCAGGAGTGCCCAGTAATGCCTGCAGCAACATTCAAGATACAGGCACGTGTCAAGAGTTTTGCAAACAATTCGGTATAAAAATCAACTGTCAGCCAGTGTTTTTGGGGAGAGGAGGTAAGATGAGGGGTTGTGTGGGCCTGTATCGTTACTGTGATATATTTTTTGGCACTGCTGCAGGAAGGTCTGCTTTCCCTCTGTGGGCTGGAGGGACTCCAAGATAGCTGAGAACAGAGGGGAGCTGGACAAGTGTTTCTAACAAGAGTTAGAAAAGTTGAGCACCTGACTGTTTACACTGAGGCGGCTGGAGACACCTCTTGGCCTTGGGAAGAACAAAAGAGAAAGAAAGAATTGAAAGGAAAACAAAAAGGAGACATTTGCTCTAGAGGTAAAGGCTGTAGCTTCTCACTGCTGAGTGCACCCAAAGGCACCTTCCTGTCTTCAACCCGTTTTGACTGTCTTAAATCAGGAGAGCCCAAAAATTCCAGCTCAAGGTGCCTGCCAGCCCCCAGATGTGTCCAGTGATGCTGCAACTGCAGGGCGAGACCAACGCCAATCAGGTGCAGGCTGTTATTGCTGGTGAAATCAAGCAAAAGATTTCAATTCCCCCATCAGAGGAGAAGCACGGACCATGGCTGGCCAGATTTCTGGTTTAATTTGTTTTAATGGTACAAACGTATTTGCAAATCTGGAGGATTCTTGGCTGGGCACTGGTATTGCCCTCAGTGCCTCCAAGCTCAAACTCCCCTGGGCTAAGGAAGAAGAGGGCTGGGGTGGCTGCAGCCCACCTTGCAATCTTACCCTAACCAGTTCTCTTCAAAGCAGTCAGCCCATGGACACTGAGACATTAAAACGGAGAGAGGGAAGGTTAAAGTGCTGTCTCTTTCTTCACCCCTC